TCTTTGTCGGGGGCAACGTACGTATTCGACGCTGTGTTGGACTCTTCGAGATTTGCTCGCGCACCAGCCAGAAGCTCTTGATAGTCGACGTTGGATTCCATGTGGACAGTGCCTTCTAGGTATGCCTGGAAGCTCGAACGCATGTGGTCATGTGCTCGCTCGGGGTCATTTTTCTTTCCGGCCGTTGACTTCAACAACGATGTTTCCTCGTCCAAGTACTTGTCAATTGCAGACTGAGAAAGCTTGGGCAACTCCACTGGCCACACTTTAGGCCTCGAATGCAGGAGGGCTTGCCGAACCAAATGCTGGGAGCTGACCATCGTGTTGCAATGTCCACAGTTGGCCATAATGAGCTCTTTCGGAAGCACGCCTTCTGAGCGACGTGGTTTTTCAAAGGCTGTCAAGGGAGGGTCGAGCGCTTCATACTTGGTATCCACATGTTCACACGCCTTGCAGGGGGTCTGAAGGAGGTCAATGGGCAGCGAATTGGACACAATGCCCTCAGAGTACTTCAGCACCATCGCTTCATAGTTGAGATCTGCCTGCAATCGGTCCTCGAACTCGGACGTGGAACGTGGAGCGCCATAAACCCAAGCAAGAAGGTGCAAGTGAAGCGTCCCTCGACCTTGGGTCTCAACCATTCCAAAGTACGCCTTGACATGGCCGAATAGTCCGCCAGACTTTCTTGGTCGACCGGTAGTCTTGTCGAAACCCACAACGACTTTGGTGAACGCCTCGATGCTTCGATCGAAAAGAGTAGCGGACGCCATGTTGTCGTTCATCGCCAGTTGTTGCATGGTTGCTTTGTCAGGCATGTGCTTGAGGTATTGTACATCAAACAGCGACTTGACTTGGATGCCTCCTGCCAAATACGCCAAAGTGATTGTCCCATCCACATTTGGCGTGATTGTGACGAAAAGACTTGGCTGGCCAAAGCGATAAGCTGTGGCAAAAGCTTCTCGACGATGCATTCGACGTTCAGCATTGCTGCCCCACACAAACGACGAGCTGCATTCAACGGACCGGAGAAGAGCGCCAACGGCCTTGTTCACAAACTTGTTCTTTGGAGTACGACCAAATCGACGGGAATCTTGGTTCTCCAGACCTTTCCGCATATCGTCATGCGATATCTTCGCCACCGGGGTATGCATGGACGGTCGGACTTTGGTCGAAAAGTTTGAGTTGATGAATCCACGATCGAGACCGAAACGATCAAAGGACACCATGACGAAGTACCGATCTTGAGCAAACCGACGTGAGCTGAGGGAGCAATAGAGCCGACAGCACTGCAGCTTCGACACTGGGACTCGTCTGCCGCGTTCGTTGGTGTAACCACGACCAAATGGGAACAGGTGTGGGAACATTCGGGCGTCAATGCCAGCTTCAAAGTAGTTTGAAATCTTGTTCGACGTGTGGACATTGAAGTCAGGGACTGCTGGATCTGCGCGCAGCGTTCTTAGGTGGATATTGCTCTTGATTGATTCCAACACTGCCTTCTCGTTCACAGGCGCCATGTCTGATGCTGTTTGAATGAACAGGACACTGCGCTCGACGTAAGCACACTCATGCTCGCTTGCTCCTTCGTCGGGGTCCCCAGAAAAGCCGTTCACAGCTGCTTGTTCGTTATCCACAGCGCTTGCGTTCTCGTCCACACCCAACGCCTCATCAATGATGCCGTCAAGTATCCTTGAGTTGAGCAACCTTACGCTTGTACCCGCATGCAAAGTCTGAATCGTTGTTAACGTATGAATCAAATCAAGGATTATGCACGCATATCGTACCTGCCAATAGTGTTTCCAGTTCATCGGACACGCGGACATTGGACTCTTTATGCATCAACTTGATGGCGCTCTTGCATGCGTTGGCAGTAGAGTATGACTTAAACTGCTGTGGTTCAACCTCAGCACCACTTGGTCCTCGTTTCACACATTCATACGCCAAGAAGCCTTTGCAGGCGATTGGATCGAGGGGAAGATAAACCTCACCATTGGTCATACAACCAGGATGCTCGCGCAACAGCCATGCTTTATGGCGCATGAGCGTCCTCTCGTACTGATAGCGGGTCTTGCTACCATACCTAAGCAACACCACCTGGTCCCCTATTGTTGAATCACCTGGACTTATGTGGTCGGCGTGCGGCACCATAGAGGCCGTCCGCTCGGGTGCTTGCATTGCAAAATAATGACTCTGAAACTCTCTCCGGATACAAAATTTCGTTCTATTTTGTAAAACCTATTATATCTCTGCATATAATTTTGGCATATAAATGTCAAATCAAATTATATCCAGTATCTGGGTTTACGAAATTTCGTGTTTCGTATCTCCAATTGTATCCGGCACATTTATTTCGTAAAACATATATATTTCGACTTATTCCGACATTTCGGCAGTTAGTCCTAATCAGGTTTGCTAAATATAGGAATGCGAATCCGTCCTGCTCGTTGTAAACTGATTCACCTTGTAGCGCAAAAAAAGTCTTACATTGGCCTAAGGTCGTACGCAGACAGCAACTCAAGTTGTTCACTGATTCGCCAGCATGCTCTGTATGCTTAACACATATAAATGGTGGACCGGGCAGAGTGTATTGAAGACGTGGACGACACATACCAGTATAGTCAAATGTAAATCAAACAATTTGACAACATCACACGTCCAACGTACCTCCAGAAAGAAAGGTCACAATGTTCTTGAAATATCCAGACTCACGAACGTAGACGACAGACTTCTCTACCCATCCCCGCATCTGCGTCATCTGATTCCGTGGAATTCATGTGAAAACGTGGATAGAACGCAGCCCCATACTCCCGAGTGTCATTCATCAATCTTCCTTCACCATGAAAGTCGCCTTCGCATTATCTGCGCTCTTCACCTCTGTCGCTGCCCATCTCAGAATCGTTGGGGGCAAGGAAGCCGCCGTTGGCGAGCACTTGTACGTGACAGGACATCGCCTCAACGCCTCCGGAATCACTTTTTGCGCAGGCAGTTTGATCGCCCCCAATGTCGTCTTGACCGCCGCCCACTGCATGGGCGATGGCCTTGAATATGTGGCAATTGGGTCGCACTACAACAGCGGCACCGAGGATGGTGAGCAGATCAAGATTAAGGAAGAGATCAAACACCCCAAGAACAACGCCGAGACCAACGAGTATGACGTTGGCGTGTATATTTTGGAACGCGACTCCAAGTTCCCGGCCGTGGAAGTGTCCTTTGACACTGTGGAAGACGATACCCCCACGGTTGTGCGTGGCTGGGGCACCACGGCTTCGGAGGGGGCTCCATCCAAGGTCTTGTTGGAAGTCGGCGTGGATGTGGTCAACCAAGAACAGTGCGCTGAGTGGTTGAAGGATGGAAGCGACTTCGTCGTCAAAGCTAGCATGTTGTGCGCCGGCGGCAAAGAGGGCGAAAGTCCGTGCCAAGGTGACTCTGGCGGGCCCATGACGGTGGAATCGAATGGTTCTGCAAAATTGGTGGGGGTGGTCAGCTGGGGCGTTGAGTGTGCCGTAAAAAACAAGCCAGGCGTGTACAGCCGCATCTCCACGGCTCGCGACTTCATTGAGCCGTACCTCAAGAACTCCCACACCTCGCCCCCTGGCCCGACCAAACCTACCACCATGCCCAACGCGACCACGAAGAGGCCCACGACGGCCTCCCCTGGCCCGGCCAAACCTACTACCATGCCCAACGCGACCACGATGAGGCCCACGACTGCCGCCCGCAAGCTTGGTTGTGCCAGGTGTGGCGTTTGCTACTTTCCTGGCGACGACAACTGCTTGATTGACTTCTCCAAGGAAGACTGCGAATACTACAGCCCTCAACATGGAATGTTGTGGTGTGGCAACTAGAGAGTTGTGGTTGTTCATGTTGCGGATAGAATATATCTTGTGTTTGAAGGAAATAAATACTACCGATCTCATAGATTTTGGCAGGTTGTCGACATATCCAACTAAAACCATTGTACCCCTTCAGTCCCAATTACTGGTAAAAGTAAACTAGGTTTTTCTTGTGTATCAGCATGTAGAATATGAACCATTCGCTTCTACTCCAGAATGTTTTTTGTATTACACACTGATACAAACGGATAATTATCCATATGTAACGTTAAGGTGAATTATCCGGGAAATATGAACGCGGACTGGTTTCCAACTCCTGTATAGCGCGACACACTGAGCTACAAGTGTGTAGATAATGGAACTGTGGACCTTCCTCTTATGAAGCGACTGCTCTCCGATCGAGCTGCAACATAGAAAGCCCCAACGTTTGTTGTTGCCTGTGAAGTCATACCAGCATAATGGTATGTACGCAGGACGTCTGACCAAATCCGACGATGTTTATCGTGTCCATATAATGCTGGTTTGACGATGTCTATCGTCTCGAATTAAGGTAAAAATGTGATCTTGGCGTCGTTAACCGGAAAAATATGGCCCCGCAAGGCTTGTGTAAATACCCTAAATAGTGCAATAGTGATACAGTAGTATAAAACTGTTTTATACAATAAATGCAAAACGCAAAATACTAGTGAAAAAAGAATGCCAGATGCGTAAACTCGAACCGGGGACGCCAACTTCCACACTACCAATCCAAACCGATACACTAGGATATCTTCTAAAGATTTTAACAAATAATGCATAATAATGACTCAATCGTCTGGTGGATGTTTTGGGGGTTTCAGTTCACGATGGATGGCCGTGTACTATCCCAGGCGCGCAGCTATCCTGGTCACAAATGCGCAGATGGCGCTGCGATATAGACAACGGTCGTATGACGTGTCTCTAGGTGCAACGCTCGTACGCATTGGAGGGGTAATCAGTGAGAGAGAGGAGTGACTTGGTCATGTCAGTGTTATATAGGACACAGCCACGAGGACAGCCGTGGCAGTCACAAGGGCTGCAGCTGTGATGATGGGAGCTCTCGTGGTGATCAAATGGACAACGTCATGATTATAGTGTAATCCGTAAGGGCATTGCTCGTATGACGTGACTGTTGGGACTTTCAGAGGAGGGTTGGAGCGATCATCCCATCATTGTTAGAAAGGGTAGATCCTTAGGGACATACATGGTCCAGGCGTAGCTCTCGTGGGTATAAAGGCAGCAATGGTGGTCGCTTGTACGTTCGTTATAGTGAAAGATGTAGCCATGGTGGAGCGGTGATAGTGATAGAGGGAGCCGTAATGGATATCAGCACAGGGGTAAATGTGACAGGCGCAGATGATGTGGGGCAGTCGTGATGATGGCGATAGCTATGTTGGTTGCAACCGTTTAGATTGTGGTTACATGAGCAATAGAGGCACCGTGCATGATACAGGCACTGAGGTCGTGCGAAGTGATCGTTGTGACAAGGATAATAGGGGCTGCTGTGGTGTTGAGGTGGATGACGTCATCCAAGCTCCTCTATGACACAGGTAGTCATCAACCGAGGCCACAGGGAGCCGACCTTAGGCGAACGAACACAAACGTCTTTAGTGTTACTAGTAGTACTAGGACATAGAAAACTGCCCAAGCCAACTACCCGAATCTCACGCTAGTTCGTGCAACGCCGTGGTAACATCAAGTCAATCAAATGTGTGCTTTGTAAGGAGTCGGCACTCCCCCACTTGGTTGTTTGTGTTGACACTGGTGTGGAAATAACACAAGTGGTCGGCATGAGCAGCCCTCCTGACTTATTGAGGAAGCCGTGGTGGAATGGTCGTCATGATAGCCTAGACACATCTACACACTCTTATAAATAAGTTTGTACCGGTCTACATACTCAAACTCTTCTTTAACGACCAAGCGCTTAGAATATTGGGAGCACACAGAACATAAATTGACTATGGCTACGCATTGGAAAAAATATTGTAAAAGGTTAGGCTCGAAACGGCGACGCCAGCATCATAGGATTCACCCTAAACCGCTACACTATTAGCGCCGGTCTCATTCTCGACATTCGTGTGATATTGACTGTTGTAGTATTTTGAGTTTATCCGAAACGGTACACATTTGAAACCGCTCTGTATCAACATAAATACCTCACAATTACGGCAACCTCTCCACGCGATGAGGTTCTTTTCCGTTAGCGAAGTGGCTCACCTGGAGCTCTCGTTCTTGGCTGGTACTCGCTGTCCTATTCAATTCTCTGAGGAACATAAGCGGTTAGCCACACTGTTCAATTTACATCGATCAGTGGATCAACGAGCAACGACTCAGCAAGTTAAGGTGTGTGTCACGAACTACTTGGGGCTTACATTATCCATTTAGACATGGTTCGCATCTGCGGGGAAGAGGAAGCGTGCCAGCACATGCACTAGTACCAGAGACGTCGTTGCAAACTTCCACGTACAACATGTCGAAGCATACACTAATGTCAAAGAGGTTGCCATACTGTATCGCAACAAGCCCAAAGTCACTGCAATCCAAGTTTACAAGTCCGACGTTGTTCGTGAATTGAAGGGTATGCTGACTTGCAAAAACACTGTTAACGCTGTAGAAACTAGTGATATATGATACTGACTGACATGCTTAATACATTGTACTTTAACATTTGTAGAATCTCCTGCTATTGGAAAAGGTGGATTGAGTACTATATCGGCAATCAACTCGCATTGTTCGGATTGGTCGAGTAAGTCCGCCGCCGAGAAGCTCGTTTACGAATAACGCGCCGAGGCTGCAAATGACTTGAAGCCAAAGTCAATGCTCGACCGCGTTGATGTTTGTAAGCGCCACCTTGGAGTCCTGAAGTCGACGCTGCAATCTTTAGGTACATCGTAGACATAATGTATAGCACTCCTCAATATACATACTAGAAGTACTAGGCGTGCACAGTCTGGTTGGCTTGGCCGACATGGAACAAAACCCAATAGAATGTTTGGAGTTTTCATTTGGTACGAAAGTAACATCCAGTCCCCTTTGAAGATGTGAAATTGAAATAGGTCAACATGGAAAAACCGTTCAAAAACTACTCCACAAAAACAACCTTGGTTTCAACCAGTGCTTCCAATCGTCCTTTCTGTATGCTGGTACGAAGGAGGCAAAGAAAATTTCTCCAAACCACGAAAGACGCCGCGTTTTGGTCCAACAACTGGCCGAACGTTACGCCCTTGAAGCTGCTCGCATGGGTTTGCCATTGAAGCCACCGCCATGGACAGCAATGTCGAAAGCCATTGGTCCAATCCTAATCGTAAATGCACCCTCAGTTGAAGACTTGGGTCGACTCAGTCAACTTTCGAACGCAAGATTGACAACGTGGGAGGCAGCGATGTCGGAAGTACGATTCCAAGCTAGAACCGAAACATTTGAATTGTAGACATTAAAGTATTTTTATGTCAAACTTATAACTTTTGTTGATCACGGAATGCCTGAGTCTTAAACCCATCAAGGTGGCGTATTCCAAATCGCAAGCGGCAATTCATGTTATGACACCACGAATGCATTGCTGGGATGGCGTATGAACAACAGTCTTCAAGCTGGCTAAATCCTTGGGGCGGGGCAGCGTTGAAGCTCTAACATTCCCATTTAACATAATGTACAGGTTTATTTAATACATACCCGGATATGGGCGCTGTAATTACATGCAACATCGTACACCAAGAGCATGGGGCTGGATGGGCCAATGCGTGAACGGTTTGTTGCCACAAGGGTGTCGCAATACTTGAATTTTTCGCCTTTATCCATATCTGTTGAAAATAGTATTAATACTTTGAATTCGACTTTGCAATACCGATGCAAGCCAGAATGCATTGGTGACGACAATGACTTGCAACAAAGCCGATCTGATCTTTGCGTGGGTCTTTGCCTTCGATTTCCATTGACGCCGTGTGATGGTGCCCGCACATCGAGAGGGGTAAGCTACCGTGCTCGCGTCTTGCCTTAACGTGGTCTGGGCCCGGTTGTAGAAACACTTCCGACGAGATGATTGGTGTTCCGTGGTTGCCGCCTCCGCCGAATGAGCTCCCAATCCGCGACGCCGAGGCAAAGCCATCCACCGACTATTGGAAGGGCTTGGATTATGCTGTGCAAAGTGTAAACTAGCTAATCATACCATAATCAGAGGCCCAATATGGCGCCCAGGATTGCCAAGGCATGGGCATTCTGTTTTCCCAGCGCCGTGCAATTGCATAATCGATGGGATCACGCGGCCGTGGTACTGTAGCCACTTCATGGTAGAATATGCGCGAATTGTGTCCATCATGGGCTTGTACACTTGCTTTCGTCGAATTGTATCCTCATTTGCACAACCAAACACGTCGCCGTCGAAGAAGTAACTAGAAATAGCTTGAAATGACAGCCCCTTATCGCGCAATCGTAGCCCGGAGTCAAGCATTTGAAAGGAAAACGCATGTCCTACGAGGTACTATTAATTGCAGGTTGTAAATTATTAAAATACGTTGTCCATTCTTGGAGTCCATTAGTGGGGTTGCACCAAGAAAGCCATAAACTCGCGCCAAGAATTGGGTCATTGACCCGTGGTAGGTCACGCATGAATCAGAAAGTTTGATACTCGCAAGGACGGATCCCACAACGGTGTGGCACCACACGGTCGTTTTTGTGGCTGAAGCATGTTTGTCGCAGCACGTAGCGTTGAACTTCCCAGTGCAACACGCGTCGCCGTTGTCTACACGCTTATGACATGCACGGTGGATCGACTGTCCATGAAACCCATCGTCACAGGACGCGCAAAACTTGAATGAGTCACCGTTGCTTTGACATGTTATACAGCTGTACACAGCTTCTGCTTGATTTTTCAGCAAAATTGTACACAAAAAATCGATATAGCTACTATTGTATGTATACCTGTAGTTTTGAATGAATTACAATAATCGCCGGCTTCCAGATACCCATCTGACCAGCCCAAATACGCATCCAGTAATCCTGGCAAGGATTTGTTCCACAAGTCGAACGCTTCGACGCGTCGTGAGTAGTTTTTCGATTGCTGTGGGTTCTGGACACTGAAGAATGTCTTCTCAAGCATGGGCCGGTTGGTGACAGGTAATTCGCCAGCGTTGTCGCGCAGTGGGCATTGAACCGGCGCCTAGGTACGCCGCATTTTTCGTACAGATGATATGTTTGTGGACTGTCTGCCATGTATATATCTGTGTAATTCAGCGATGTTCGCACCGTCATCGCTGTCCTCATCGCTGCCTTCAGTTTCCCTTGTCAAAGGCCGACGATTCTTCCGCGACTTTCCAGCTATCATCGACGCCGCTTTGCTGCAAAATATGTTTTGGGCCGTTACGAACGTAACGGCCATTGACTTAAATGAGTGGTGTACTGCATACTAATCTTGCACAAGATGCTCCGAGTATCGTGTACGAGATTTTTATGCAGTGCGGTATATCCCCGTTCCCTCGCCGTCAAAGTTGGGCTTCACCACGCGCGTGCAGTCACCCCATAACGTTTTGCGTTGGCGATCGCCTCGTTATTAATAATGAGCCCCCCTGCATATCAGTACAGTACCACATAGCTGACTGTGCTGTGACCAGCGAATCGCTGGAATGCATGCATTTATTCTTGAAAAGTTCTTTACGTCAAACCCCGGGCTTAGAATTGGTCCTTGCATTCGTTTACACACTAATATCCCCCCCGTCCCCTCGTTTGATGTGCAATCAACGAAATACAATCCCCCCGTCCCCTCGTTTAATGTGCAATCAACGCAATACAATCCCCCCCACATCAAACCCCGGGTTTACAATTGGTCCTTGCATTCGTTTTCACACTAATATTCCACCCCGTCCCCTCGATGTGCAATCAACGCAATACAATTATTCCAAATAGTTTTCGTCAATTCAATCCCTATCCTACAACTGACCCTACCGACCCTATTTCAGCCTCGATGTTTCCGTACAAGCATAGAATTGTTCAATTCACAGTACGAAATCCGTGATTTCATACGATAAACAACGTGATTTTTGCATTATTCGTACACGTTAAACAACGGGGGTTTCGTGCTGACGAGGTGTATGTACGACATAAAACTGCGACGCTCTGCAATGCTATTGCAAAGTGTTTACGATACAACCTCATAACTAGCACTCTGGCATTATGGTTGAGTAGTTGAGGTTCCTGGTAGTTAGTATATTCGGGAAGACGTTTTTAGTTGCTCGTCAACACATCAATGTATTGTCATCGGAAATCGTAGGCCAGGTGGCCTGCTGCATTTGATTGGGTAAAATCACGAAAAACCCTACAAATTGCTTCAAGTTGGTTTTGCTCAGCTTTGCGGCTTGGACATTGAGACGCAATGCCAAAGCTGTGTGACCACACAATACATAGGTATTTAGTAGGTGATGTGATGTGTGATGTAAAGTTAGCTTTGTGGCTTGGTATACTTACGCACCATAGCATTAGGTGCGGGCCGCAAAATGCGATGCTTGTGAAGTACCTCTGTGTGTGCGTGCAAAGTGATGAGCTGCATTCGGGGCCATGTACGGACTTAGTAGTCCTGCTGTGAAATGCATGCAGGACCTTATTCTCGAAACAACTCCTGTTGGCGGTGCGTGCAGTGCTCGCGGTGGGACACCCACGGTTTACTATTACGCAGTAAAGTTGAGATCACTGAGCGGGCAAAGGTCAGCGGCAAACTACAGACAGTACCCCAAAGAAGTCAACAACGAAATCTAAGATTGCGGTGGCCTTCAGGGGCAAACAGGATTGGGCGGCTATATATTGGCCCTTTTTGGGGGCGATGGGGGGGCTTGGGGCGGGGCCGTCTAGCTCGGTGGGTGACACCAAGTTTGTGGCACGAGACAAGAGGCAGCGTTGGTGCCACGTGAGGTCATTGTCGTCGAGATATTCGAGACGCAACCGCATGCGACACGAGTGCCCAGTTGAGGCGGACGATGACATGTACAGTATGCATGCCAAAGTCGCATTTATTGGATTGACGGGTTCTATGTTTCATAATATGTATT